GCCACAGTCCCCTAGTTTTTTAATGAGAATGGGGTGAGAGACAGTGTCGAAGGCCTTCCTGAAATCTAGAAAGACTACATCCACTGCTACCCCTGCGTCTAAGGATTTTGTGACCTGGTCATAGAAGGCCACCAGGTTGGTCTGACAGGACCTGCCTCTAATGAACCCATGTTGGTTGCCCCTAAGCATAACCTCCCCTGCTGGCCCCTCGCGGACATGTGCCAGGATAATTCTCTCAAAAAGCTTAGCCAGGATCAAGGTAAGACTAACTGGCCTATAGTTCCCTGGGTCCTCCTTCCTCCCTTTTTTGAAAATGGGAACCACATTGGCCCTTTTCCAGTCCTCTGGCACTATACCAGAGCACCACAAGTGCTTGTAAAGCCGTGCCAGGGGTCCCGCAATGACTTCTGCTAATTTCTTCAGCACTCTGGGGTGGAGGTCATCAGGACCAGCTGGTTTAAATATGTCCAGTCCCTCCAGAAGTTCCCTGACTAGATCCTCACTGACCCTAGGCCTGGGTGTGCCTCTCCCAGGGCCTGAGGGGGTTCCAGGGGGCGGGCTGGTCCAGTCCCTGCTCAGGAGAATCTTATATCATTCCACACACAAATGGACTCCTGACCCCTGGGCAGAACTTCCTTGAAGCCAGTAGGGCTTGCCATGTGGACAGGCCTCTACCTCCACCACTGAGCTGGCAGGATAAGGGCCAATCAGAACCAACTCAAGCTTGCCTAGTGAATTTTTGTTGTAATATTTCCTACTAGATCATTCATTCATTCATTCATTCATTCATTCAATGACTTTATGTAAGATAGGAGCTTCACAGACAGATAAAAATAGATGTGATCTCTCCCTTGAAGAGTTTATAAGTCTGCTTCATTCTGATGAGACACCTCCCAGTGTCAGAGAGAGAAAATGTCCAGATAATACCAACACTTTGACTATCAAGGAGACTTGGGAACCTCTGGGCAGAATTTTGCCTTTTTCTGCTTCAGTAAACAGGCATTTAAATATCAATTTTGTTTAAAAAAATCCCAAACAAGTGCACCAGCCTCTAGACAGTCTTAGGAGACTACATTTATCTTTGAAGTTGTTCATTGCTTTTTGCACTTAGTAATGAATCCCTGATATGGCTGCGGGTTATAAGGAGAAAACTGTGTAGTGATCTAAATCTTATTGTGTATTCTCTAGCCTTTAAATAAAAATGCTTACATATCTACTTAGATCTGAAAACCAGCAAATCATGACTATGAACATTAATGGAAGGGAGAAAAGAAGCTAACAATAATTCCCACACAAGTTGGACCTAATACAATTCACTCAGCAACCAATTCAATAAATGCTTTTGGCTGCTCGTCTACATGAACTTTGCAATAATAGCTGTCATTCTGGTGGGTTAATGACTTTCCTCTATTGATGGCTTCTCTACTTATATTGTATAAAATATATAAAAACATATATAAAACAGAGAAAAAATGTGAAAACATATATTAAAATTTAAGGGGATGGCTGGAATCATAGTGCTTCCATCAGTGTTTTATCTAAACAGAAATCTCATTTATCCAGAGACGTGTCCAGGCAGCAAAGTTTGGCTTTTAACCCAGACCTTCTCATGTACTGGGAATGTCTGGAATCAGGAAATTCGTTTGATAACTTGTAGAGGCAGGAGAAAGGCATGGAATTCAGCCATGGTTCCTGCTTTAAGTTCTCAAGATCTAAGGGCCTAACTTGGGACCATTTCTACCTTATCCTTTTTCAGACAGATTCTCTCCCGTGGTCCAGCCACTCTCCCTGGCTCCATTCCCATGAAAGGACTGAAGAGCCATCAGATGTTGCTAACAGGAGCTATCTTTGGTATCGGACAGTCCGTATTTGGCATTGAGTTGCCTAGCTGGCTCCTATACCACTAACCCTGGCAGCCTCTGCTATAGTTGGCCTGTTGGGACAGAGGAGGTCACAGCTGCAGCACCACTCTGCTTTGACTATTCTCTGCTAATGGACCTCAGGGGCCAGAACCAAGTTCCTAGAATCAGGGAGATACAGCTAGCTCCTTGGCAGTTTTATTTCAGTTTGTGCCAGAGAATGACTGGCACATTGGAGAAACTAGCTCTGTATGGTATGTGCGGATCCAAGCTTAAAACCAGGAACAGTTTTTAAAGAAAATAAACCTTTTCTCCAAGACCATGAACTGTATCAAATCTCCTGCACATTTTCTGACATCTGATTTGCCATTTGCTCCAGACTATGGTATTTCCTTTCTTCCCCAAAACATAGCACTCAATCTGTTATTTAGGATTTCATATCAGTTGTTTTTCTTCAATACAACATTCCTCTCACTTGCTCCAGCATTGCTTTTTATTTAAGAGACTTATTTTCTCCAAGCATTGAACTAATTTAAACAGTTTGATCTGATTTTCCTTTGCTTCTGACCTCAGTTACAGGCATGCTTAAAAATAAAGAGTGCTCTTTGCTGTTTAATATCACTGTGCATCTACTTTATCCACCTTTGTAAGCATGATTGATATTTTAAAAGAAGAATCTGAAGCAAAGCAGAAATCTATAAAATGAGGGGTGCTTTTTTCCCCCCACATCCCTTAATTTTGCCAGTGTCTCCCCAAGTGACCTCAGAGAAGTGAGCGATATTTATTTATATTTTAAAACTCGGTGCCAAATATTATACCTCTGGAAGTCATTTTGCAAAGAAATGAACTAACTTTGGAATGAGATAGAATAAAGACAAGGGATAGAATTTTCCTTACACACCCAGAAACCTTTCCAAACTTGGTCCCACCAGGATAAATAAGGACAGAGAAGGCATCTCAACAAGACTGGGGAAAAGGGAAGAAATGCTATACATCTTAGCAAATAAGTCCTGCTTCTGGGATAGGGAGGTTTTCACTTTTCAGGGTGGATTTTCTAGTTGTAGCTCTGACTCAGTTATTCTGTCTCAGTTCTTTGCTGACTCAATATATTCCTACACAGCTACATTAAGTAAACCCTAACAGTGATTATGCGGCATGGCGTGTTTTATTCTCTGTACAACTGGGAGAAATTATTCATTCAGTGGCATCATTTGCATTTTCCCACAATGATTTCACAGACATATTTTTTAACTCCGTCACTGTTGATTTATCATTCCAGTGGTGGGATGTCATGGCGCTTCGTAAAATGCCAACATACCACTGTAACAAATAGCCTTTTAATGAGGTAGCACCAGATATCTGGAACATTAGTATATTATAACCATTATTATTATAGAATATAATAGTATATTTTTCCTTATGAACTCACTGTGTTAGGAAGCACAGAGAAGGTCAATCTTAATCAATAACTGCAAAAAAATCTAAGAAGAATGATTTTCATTAGGCCTGTGCGAATAGGCAGCTATTCGATCTGGCTTTGGATCTGGCTGCTTTGGATGCCTGCGATCCGATCTGGAGCTCCAGATCGGTTTCCCACTTCGATCCAGCTGAAGCGGCTCCGAAGCTCTGGAGCAATATGAGCTTTTACATAGTATCCATTTTTTTCTCCAGAGGCTAAAAATGTTTAATATTTGGAACCTTTCCTCCAAAGACAAACCTTTTATACCATTAGTCAGGCTTGTTGGCCTCATCTTATACTATCTCTAACACCTGGATATCCTTTATTTAATACAGGCAACAGATGCTGCAACCTAATACTCCAAGTGTGACCTTTCTGAGGAATTATACAGAAGGACTTTTATGTCATATTAGAAATGAATTCCCTTACGTGTACACCCTAACACCTTGCTAGCTTTCTTTGCTGCAGCTGTGTACTGTGACTCTATTGTTACACTACTGCTCTACAAAGCTTAAAGTCCCTACATTTTTCTTAAATGTGCAACAAAGTTCCTCTGAGTCAGTATTTTGATCCTCTGTTGAATCACTCCATTGTTTTCCCCTGTGCAATAATAAGTCTACTGAATGCCAATTAAAAAAAGGAAACCTGATTATTCACAGGTGTCCATGATAGTGCGGTGTATTTCACTGTGCAAACATCTCTAATGAGGACAGGAGCCCATTAGAGTTAAATGGACCACAGAGAAAGATAAGCAAAGATATGTTGTGTTTATAGGGGCTGTATTTTACAATGAATTATCCTTTATTTAGAGCTACTTCAGTTTATATTCTGTTAAAATATTTCATTCAGACATGTGACAAGGAGAGTGGCTGAAATGACTAACCATACAGTAAATATGAATGTACATGACTGAGTGGTCCCTTTTACTTGATGAAATTAAAGTAGAAGAATGAACCTTAATATCATCTTCTAATATATCCCTCTGGAAAAAAATCCCCACAACAAAATTAATTGGGCAAAATGATGCCCAGGGTCATGGAGCAGCCTTGACCACATATTTGCATCTGGCAGGGTGATTTCTTACCTTCACTGCAAACTCAGCTTCTGTTGCTTTGTGCACACACCTCTTGCATACTGAATAGGAGCCAACTCCTATGTCCTCCTTGATCTCATATCCATCTGTAAAGTGAACATTGTTCCCATGTAACTGCTGTAGAGAAAGACAAGTAAAACAAGAATAATCAGAAGACAAATCTTCTAGTTGCATGTAACAGGATAATCTAGGACAACCATTTTAAAAAGTTTGGTGCACTTTATCCTCTCTATCCAGCTTCCAAAATCCACTTTCCTTAGGCATTATATTGTTTAAATTCAGTTCAGTAAAACAATAGCTTTTTGGCTGCTATCAAAACTGGAGTTCTTCCTTCTCAGTTTCTTTCCCAAGTAACATACAGCTGTGTATCTAGAAACAATCTCTAGGATTTCCCAAGCCAGCTATAGAATTTGGATAGCAAATTCCCATTAGATATTAGTGGGAAGTGGGGGTCTAAAACTTCTAGGCAGTTTTCAAACAACCCAGCCTACAGCTATTTCTCATGACAACGGAAATGTTTTTATAATACTTTCCAGGCTGGATCCTTGTCTGGTGTAGATATCAGTGTAGTTCCACATGTGTCAAATCAGGTATACCAGGGGTGGCCAACCTGTGGCATGTATGCTACAAGTGGCACAGACAGACTCTATGTGTGGCAAGCAGCAGATCATGGAGAGGACAGCCGGCACAGTGGCAAATAGGGTAAGAAACAGACAACAGAACAGCAGATCACGCAAGGAGCAGAAAGCAGAACAGCACATCAAACATGAAAAGGGGATTGGGGTGGCACTCAGAAGAGCATGGGACTTAATTTGTGGCATGCCTGCCAAAAAGGTTGGTCCCCACCGAGCTAAATCAACTTATACCAGCCAATGATTTGGGCCAGGGCTTTCCAGGCATGTTTTATTCAGATCTGATTTCTAAGGTAGAAAAGTTATTTCTTTCTTAAGTTGAACATAATATAAAATATATATATACATATAAATATTTAACAAGAGCTGGGGAAAAACTTTACAAGATAGGGTTTCCATTCAGTAGAGTACCTAAGGGTGGACAAATGGGCCATCAGCCCAGGTGTTGGTGTAGAAGGGATGCAAGAATGGTGGTTCCCCAGGGAGTCCATGCCATGTAACAGTAGTGGCCTCATCCTGAAGCTGTAGTAGCGGCAGCGAAGCATGTCAGCAATAAGAGGAAGGTTGGGGAAAGTGTGGGCCCCTTACTGAAGTGGGGAAGCAACCTAGTGATAGATGATGTGAAAAAGGCTGACATACTTTATGCCTTTTTCACCTCAGTCTTCACAGGCAAGGTCAGCTTCCAGATTACTACACCTGGCAGCACAGTCTGGGAAGGAGGCGAGCAAACAACTGTGGTAAACGAACAGGTTAGGGACTATTTAGAAAAGCTGGACATGTACAAATCCATGGGGCTGGATGGGATAGACCCAAGGGACGCGTCCAGACAAGCCCACGAGTGCCTCTTACAGCATCTCAAACACCTTTGGGATGCTGCAAGAGGCATGTGCAGGAACAAGAAAGTGTTCCCCACGCTGCAAATTTGCTCCAGCTGATGCTGCAGGAATGGCCTCCAAGTTCCCCTACTCTTCTTAGGCTTTAACTTCTTGTCCCCACCCAGGGCAGCACAGGGCAGGGTGACATGGCTCAGTGCAGGCGGAAGTGCTGGGAGAGTCCAGAACGTGGTACAGTGGGGGAGCCTGCAGCCAAGGAGGTGAGGGGAGAGGCTGCCCTCTTGTTTGCCTGAGCAGTGCAGCAGTTGGGAGAGTTGCCTCCCCATGTGTGCTGCCAGGGCTGACCCTAGGAGGGACCTGGGGGAAATCATCCTGTGTGGGGCCCCCTTAACCTCTGGGGTCTCCTCTGCACCCAGGGCAGGGGGGTCTCCTCTGCACCCAGGGCAGGGGGGTCTCCATACTTCTTCCATTGTGTGGGGTGGAGGCGCCAGTACAAGGCGGGCCCTGCGGGAGGGGCCGTGGCTGCTCCGCCTGGGGCAAATCAGCCTGTGAGGGGCCCCCTTAACATGGTGTGGGGCCTGTGGGATCCCTGCAAAGGCAGGGCATGGGTTGGGGTTTCCCCCATGCCCACGGCGGGCGCTCTCTAGACTTCTTCTGTGGCATGGGGCAAAGTTGCCAGCACCAGGCAGGCCCCACAGGAGGGGCCACAGCTGCTCTGCCCAGCTCTCCAGAACCCCCCAAAGTGCAGGGCCCAGGGCGGTCATCCTGATTCGCTGTACCCTGGGGACAGCCCTCCATGCTGCAGCAATGGGGGCGCTGTCTGACTGCACACATGGTGCAGTAATGGGGGGTAGGTAACCTCTTGCCTTCATGGTGCTGAGGGAGCTTGCAGCTGTGAAGGGGGTGGGGGGAGGTGGCTATAGCCCCCGGCTGCTAATAAGTTGGACAGCTGTTTGCTAGTGAAAAGGAGATGTGAACATGAAAACAAAAACAGAGGACAATCTCCGCTCGCTTTCCACTTATTGCTAGCTATATGTGATAATTCTAGGAGTACATAACTTTGAGGTAGCATCATGCTGATACAGATGAATGTAACACACATGAATGTACTCAGCTTATCAAATGTGAAGTGACACACCACATGTTAGTACCTGCACAATCGGATGAACTGGGGCTTTGTGCAGATCTTGTTGTGCAGGTTCCTGGATCAAGTTGGATGCAATAAAGCTGAATCCTCGAAAAAGATGATGAGCATTGGCACTTGGAGGAACACCAGGGGAATCTGTGGAGGAAAGGTGGAGGGGACTACATGAGTTGGACAACTACAAATTAGAAAGTCAGTAACTTGCAGCTGTGAGGCTCCCTGCAACTGTCCATCTGTAAACCCCATTAAACCAAAAGTCACAATCCACCCTCATTTCAAGACTCTGATATGCATGAATTACCCTCCCCAACCCCTAGGTCTAAGCATAGGAGGGAGCCTTCATGCATGGATATCCTTTCTCTTGCACAGACAGGTTGCTGCACAGAGTTACTCCAACATCATTCCCACCCAAGGCACTTCAAAGCACAAGGGCCTATGCAGAAAAGGGGCAAAGGAGTCACCAGGCTAGAAGAAGGAAGAGGTAGACCAGGACATAATTTTCTGTTTGCCCCTGTGGAGAGTCCCTAGATAAAAAATAATAAAGCTTAAACCTGTATAATCTTTTTAGTGGAGCTCCCTGAATATCTAGGCCACAGGAGTTGCCATGGCCAAAGGGAATTATTGGTGGTATAGCATGAATGGAGCTGTATTTAGTGGGACACTAGTGAAACAAAGGTCTTGGACAGTGACAGAAGCCTGATGCCTCTACATAACTGGTTCCTAGTTTGGTGGGGATCTGGGGGGTTTAGATGTAGGAGCAGCAAGGGTGGCATGTGGGGTTTTCCCCAGATGGACCAAATGGGCAGAAACAGTGAAAGAAACCTTAGGAAAGTTTCCTTCCCCAAAGCCCTAGTCTCTTACTGCAAAACCCATGGTAGGAAGTGATGTGGGTCATAACAGCATTAAATCATTCTGTCCTTAGTATCCTTTGCCCAAACAGCATTCCCTGATAGCCAACCCAACATCCAGCAGAAACAAAACATGCTGCTGTAGCAAGGAAAGGATTTATATTATAGTTACCACTTAAAAAATCAACACATAATTGTTTTTATGTACACATTTTATCAAGATATTTTCATAAGCAAATAATAGGGGACTCCATAATATTTCCTGGAACCAACCATATCTTTGTGTTAGACAGATATGAGTTATACAGTCTGTGGTATCCAAGCCTGTTTATATTTTATTTGTTCCAAATTACAGTCAGTGTCTTTCTAAAAAGACAAGGTTAAGGAACTAGAACTCTCTTAGAAAAACCTCTCTTAGGAGAAAACATACAGAAAACTGTTTCACTTGAGCAAATAAAATACAGCCCATTTGAATGATACACACAACCTGTACTTCCTCCATTAACATTAATACTAGTGTTAATTGGCACCAGCAGGGAAGACCTGCAGCGAAAGAGTGCAGTTCATGGTCCTGGAACTACCAGGTAACTCAAATATTTCTTATAAAATGCAGTAAGAATAATGATCTGAGGAAAAGGTGCTCAGAGCAGCTCTTCTGAGGCCTGCATATGAAGAACATAGTAAAGGGAAGTAATCTGCCTGACAGCCGAAGGTTAGCACAGCCAAGACTGCAGCTGGCTCTGTACCTCATCAGGGGATCAGCCTTGGCTTTGACACAACTAACAAAGGCATGCAGTGAATCACCCCCTCCTTAGAGTGAGAGAAAGAGCACAGTGGTTCATTAAAACGATCTGTGCTGGTTGTTCAGCTCTCGGTGTACTGGAGAGTGCTGTCCTTATAAACACACAGGCAGGAGTCTGCAGGCCTCTTGTTTAATCAGCCCTCTGAAAGGCACATGGATTGCAATCAGCTTTTCACACCCAATTATTCAAGGGAAAGAAAACATGCTTTGAAACAGGGATAAACCCATCTCCTAACCTACACAACTGGTTCCTAGCTTGGTGGGGATCTGGTGGATTCAGATGTGGAAGCACCAAGGGTGGCACATGAAATGCTCTTAGAAAACATTTGGGCATATACGTTTGTGCTTTAGGGAAGCTTGGATCCTGCTCCCACCTTTATCACAGATCTCTGATGAGAAGGTATTTACAGCTTCATACAGGGGTATAGGTTGTAGCCATGTTGGTCTAAGGATACAGGCAGACAAGGTTCTTTGGGTGAATCTGATATATTTTATGAGACCAACTTAAATAGTTGGAAAAAAATTACTTTTCATTCCATCCAGGAAGAGCACACACCAACTGCAGAAACTTCCTCAGCCTGACGAAGGGTTTTTGAACCCAAAAGCTTGCTTAAAAATGTTTTTTTCGAACTATTTAAGCTGGTCTAATAAAAGATATCAGATTCACCCAAACAACTTTGTCTTTACAACTTCATCACTTAGACCCAATTTCTCTATTAATAATCAGTGATCAACAAGGATTAACAATTTTGTTTCCAAGCATAAAAGCTGCCTAAAATTAGTCAATTTCTATATAAACATAATTTTGAACTGTCTACACAAAATGCAACCATGTTTCAACAGGGCAGTTAAAACATGATAGTTATGTTTTCCAACCAACTTATTTTTGTACTCTGAACAAATCCAGCAGCATTTAATTCTACTGAGGGCAAAATGATCTTGCACATTCAACTGTCAAATGGTAAAAGTAACAACACTCTGTCTCGGTACAACATTATTCATAAAAGTATCTCAAAGTTCTGTTGACACTATTGCTCAGTCAGCTTTGGTATACTGTTTTGAGGTAAAGGAAATCATCATTTTAGTTTTATAGAAGGGAAAACTGAGACAGAGAGATAAAGTGGCAAGGTCACTGAGGAAATAACTGGCAGAGCTCAGAAATTTGCCTGTTCTGTAATACAGGCAAGCATCATCCATTAAGACTGCAAATGACATTTCCATTTGTGACTGGAGCCAAATTTAAGGCTAGGTGTTCAGAAGTTAAATCCTATTTTAAGTTCATTACATCATCTTCCTATTTAGGCTGTGTTAATAGATTCATAGATGTTAGGGGCTGAAAGGGACTTCTCAAGATCATGAGGTCCAGCCCCGCTGCACTTGGGCAGAAAAGACTGCTGGGGTTAGATGACCCCAGCAAGGTGAACATTCAGACATTTTTTTGAAGATATCCAGAGTAGGCAATTGTACCACTTCTTGGGGGAGTCTATTCCAGACCCTGGACACTCAAGATGTAAGGAATTTTTTCCTTACATCTGATCTAATATCTGGCTCAGATCCCCACAGAGCTGAGGAATCTTCAATTGGAGATTGAGCACCTAACTCCCTTAGGCCCTTTTGAAGATCTCAGCCTCAAGGTGCTTCTTTTTAATATTGGATGTTACTAGTGTCTTATTATATCAAATTTCATCAGATTTCTCTTTTTCATTTATATGTATAAATGCTATATAAATATATCTCATGTGATTTATATATTATATACTATCTATCTATCTACACATATATAGTATATAGCCTTATATATTATATTGTGTGTGTATAATGCATATTCTATAGTATGTAGGTGTGTTTATATGTGTACATATACATACATACATACATATGTACATACATACATATTATATTCTGTTTCCTCCCCTGAAGGAATTCTATTACCCAGTTTCTTCAACTGCACTGCAATATAATGTTATATAAAACTGTCATGTAATCACAGAACCGGAGAGAAGTAGGGCTGGAAGGGACCTCCATAAGGCATCTAGTCCAACCCCCTGCCTGAGACAGGATCATCCCTATCCAAACCATACCAACCTCTGTCTAAGACTACCATCAATCCTGACAAACACAGACCTAACACCCTAACCTGCCACAGGTAAAGGAGGGGAACCATGGCAGCCAATGTCTTGCTTCTATGAAATGTTGTCAATATATGCTCAAGAAATCCCAGGTAGAGGGCCATGCCCCCAACTACAGAGGAAAGCAAAAATCCTCATAGTCCATACCAACCTGACCGTGGGGTAAAATTCCTTCCTGACCCCAAATATGGTGCTCAGTCTGACCCTAAGTGGAGGGGAGAGACCCTCTGCCTTTGGTCCCAGCAGGAGTATTGGCAAACCCCAGTCAAAGTCCTGAGTATTGGCTGTAGCCAACACCCAATGCCTCTGGGAAAGGCTTAAAAACATTCTGGCACAAGTAGCAGAAAGGGGAGGGGGAGCGGGGTAACCAACTCCTTCCCTAAGAGGGGGCCCGGAAACATGAGAAATACCCAAAGCAGAACATAGGCATAGCTACACCTAGATTATCCCTGAGCAGTGGCTTTCCAAACTCTTCTTAAACACCTCCAGTAATGAAGAGTCTACAACTTCCTTAGGCAGTCTATTCCACTGCCTCACTATTCTAACCGTGAAGTTTTTCCAGATATCCAAAATCAACTTATTTGCTGCAACTTCAAGCTATTCTCTTCTCTGAAGCAAAAGAAAAAAGGTGCTTTCCTCTTCTTTATGGCAGCCCTTCAAGTATTTGAAGTCTGAAATCATGTTTCCTCTTATGTGCCTTTTCCACAAGCTGAGCATACCTAGCAAAGGATTGCGTTTGAAGGTGGCACTCTTCAAACCCTAAACTACTGTATTTAAGCACAGTACTGAATGCTAACTGAACTTTTCAAATTCACTTCTCTTCAATCCTAAACAAGCTCATATTGATTATGTTTCCCAGCATAAGTCACTTATTCAGCAACAACCAGTTATTTTACAATTGTGGTTCAGTGGTAGAATCCTTGTTTTCCACACAGGAGACCTGGGTTCAATTCCCAGATACTTATACAACTACAGCCATGGAGGGACAAAGTGTCTGGACCCAGTCTGACCTTTGGATTGTGTCCCAGTGGCCTAAAGGGAGGATGGAAGGTCTGGGAAGCCTCCACTCCTCCAGAAACTCTTGCCTAGGCATATGCATCAAAGGTCTGGGTGACCTCTTACGCATACACCATCATCCTGAAGAAATTATAAAATATGAATAGCAACTGAAAAACACACTAGGCTTCTGCAATATAATTCCACCTCTAGGTAGGATATAATAAATCACTTAAAATTAAAATACGCATATTATAATGATCCACAGCAAATGGAAGGTGAAAGTTAAATGTTATGAGCAAAGAGGAACACAACGTACCACAACTAAGAAGCTAATTATTTACTGACCCAGACCCAGAGCATGTAGAAGTATGGGACCATTAACAGTTTTCCTTTTCTTTTTCTTAACCTAATACAGTATTGCCATTCAAAAGAATTTGTAAGCCAAGAGATGTCACTGGAACAAAGATTATTTTGGATGGGGCTGACTCTGAAGACCCTTCATGGAGCACTTGAAGTGTAAACAGGTCTTAAAGTGACATTAAAATACCCTAAAGCCCACTTAAGTATTTAAGCCATGTTAAAATCATTGAGCCAGATTCTTTCTTACATTAAGGCCTCCTTATACCATAGGCACAAATACCACAATGGTAGAGAACAGTTTCTCTCTTGCAGTATTTTGCACACCCTAACATAATAAGTGTGTTACATCTCTTTCTTTTGCCAGAAAAGGTAGGGGTTGAATCCAGCTGTTGGGGAATACCTGGATTAGTTTTCAAAAAGGCAAAATACAAAACTGTGGGGAATGTTATATGAGGCCCATTTCCAATTGCTTTTAATTTAATCAAAACCGATTCACTAAAATGTCATAACTCCTATTGTATTTTGGGCCAGTTAGATGGCTGATGTTTGAGGCCAGAAGTCATATTTTTCTAATGCTTAAGTGACCAGTCAATATGCAGGAAGCCAGGGCTAGAGCTGGGATTGGTGTTCAATAATAGGTAGTTACTGATACTCTGATTTTTTGCTCGCAAGGCTGCGCCGCTAGTACAATTGCCCCCAAATGTGCAACTTGGCATGCATTATTGCTTTTATGAAATGGAAATTATAAATAAAAATAAGGCTAACAGTACCATGTGGAGCATTTACTGGTCATTAACCATTTGGATGTTATGTGCCAAATCCTCTGTTATCATGACTTCTATTGACTCCAGAAAATTGGACCTTTCATCATTCTTACTATGTATCAAGTTCAGTGTTTTAAGAGATTTACAATTAAATAGCATACCTATGTAATACAGTTGTAACATAACACAGCATAGTTGTAACATAGTTTCTATGGTTGGAAGGGACCTGAACAGATCATCAAGTCCAACGCCCTGCCCTGGGCAGGAACGAGTGCTGGGATCATAATACCCCAGCCAAATAACTATCCAACCTCCTCTTGAAGACCCCCAAGGTAGGGGAGAGCACAATTGGGAGTCAATTCCAGAGCCTGGCAGCCCTAACCGTAAAGTAATGCCTCTTGATATCAAGCCTGAACCTACTCTCAATCAATTTGTGGCTATTATTCCTTGTTATCCCAGGTGGTGCCCAGAGGAACAGAGCCTCACCTATTTTTTGCTGGTCCTCCTTGGTGAGTTTATAGATGGCCACCAGATCCTCTCTGAGTCTTCTCTTGTGGAGGCTGAATAGATTCAGGCCTTTTAGGGCCTGGCTTGCTGCCCCCTTGACCATTAGAGTGGCCCTCCTCTGGACCCACTCAAGGTTAGCCACATCCCTCTTGAAGTGCGGCACCCAGAACTGGATGCAGTACTCCAACTGTGGCCTGACCAGCGCCCCATAGAGGGGAAGGATCACCTCCCAGGACCTGCTTGTGATGCATCTGTAGATGCACGACAAGGTGCGGTTAGCCCTACTGACCGCTTCCTCGCATTGGCGGCTCATGTCCATCCTGGAGTCAACAATGACTCCAAGATCCCTTTCAGCCACTGTGTTGTTGAGAAGGGCATTCCCTAGCCTACAGGTGTGTTGCAGGTTCCTTCTTCCTACATGCAATACCTTGCACTTGTCTGTGTTGAATTCCATTCTGTTCTCATCTGCCCACCCCTGTAACCTGTCTAGATCTAGATGGATTCTGTCCCTCCACTTCAGTGTCCCCACTTCTCCCCACATCTTTGTGTCATCAGCGAATTTGGACAGCGTGCTTTCCACGCCCACCTCCAAGTCGCTGATAAAGATGTTGAATAGTACAGGCCCGAGGACTGGGCCCTGGGGAACTCCACTGCCCACATCCCTCTAGGTCGAAAATGACCCGTCCACCACCACTGTGTACTAACTTGAACAGCTGCAAAGCCCCTTGAACTTGATGTCACTACATTAAAAGTAGTTAAGCAAAAATCAGGCAGTAAAAATAGATATTTTTGTTTTATCACAGAAATATCAGAGGTCTTTCCTTTTTGCAGGGCATATCCAGTGACAGGTTGGTGAAGTCATGGGTTTATTCCTAAGTGCAGGGCACCTATAGATTATGGTTTGATGATACAAGATCTACTGCCCCACACAAAGGACCCAGAACTGCTTACTGTAGTTGAGGTGGATCTATTCATGGAAAAGATCTATCACTGCTGTTCTAGTTTACTTCAATGCTAACCTGTGGGGGTTCGTGATGTGAACTCCGGGTCAAAATGAAAGGTGTCTTCTGGCCGTCCCACTGCTGGTTTAAAAGGTGGCTTGATTTCTCTCCTATATAATTTCTACAAAAACAATGATAGAGAATAATCAGCAACATACTGTAGTGGCAGCAAAGTTCAAGAGCAGGATATTACAGTTTTTTAGGACATCCACTGATTTATGTGCTACACTTGTAGGGAGTGACATATATGAAGAGAGAGATGCTGAACTCTTGTTGAGTCTAAGGAATTAGGATCTGCACCCTAGTGGGTTGCTATTTTCAACTTTTATGATCCAGTGTCTATACAAAGATGTTTTGCCTGCTTATTTAGCCCACAGAATGGCATAACATTTAAAGCTAGGTGGCACCTGGGTATTTGTTGCTCTTTAAGATCTGGCCCAGAATGTTCACTTGCGGTGGGAAGAGATATGTTTCCAAGTGGTTTCTGCAACTGATGGGCTTGGTTAAGTAATGCTAAGGGAAAGGGTTACTTTAAGAACCAAAGTGCTTGGTGCATTGGAAAACAGGAAACAGAAACAGCACCTGCAGCAAGGAGGTTCTGGCTTAATCAAACAAGTTAGTGCCTTGTCATTTATCACACCTGGAAGAGCAGCTGAGAGGGAAAGGACCAGGACTAACCCTTGCCAAAATGAGAAAGCAAGAGGGTGATAAGGTTAAATAATGGGTAGGTCAACTAAGAGGGAGAACAAAAAACAAGGGATGGTAAAGGGCAAGTGCAGGTAAGTATCCCTACATAGGTGGACTTCTTTTGGGGTGACAGAGGCACAAATGGAAGAATCTGCTCACAACCAGTAATAATAATACTTGCATCCCAAACTCCTTTCAGATAAGGTTTTCATAGATGCTTTACAGATGTTAATGCATTAAGTCTCACAATACTCTGCTGAAGTAGAAAATATTTTTTTTGTCCTGACCTGAAACCCACTGATGTCACAGGAATCATCCACATTGACTTTAGTGGGTCTTAGGTCAACCCTTCTGGGAACTAGCAAAGATCATAAAAAAGTGCAGCTTTGAGAACTGGAATCAGAACTTAGTTCTGAGTCCAGGCCCTTGTTTCAGTCACCTGACTGTTCTCCTTTATATCAATGGTCCTGCTTTCAGCTGGCAAAGGCCTCCTCTAATTTACAAAGAAAGCCCTCAGTAATTAATATGTGTAAGCACAAATGCAGTGTTTGTATTAACCTTCAATCCACAATTAGAGCTGGGAACTTCATGAACATTTGGAAAGTATACTTACATTCTAACTCTTAAAAAATAACACAATTTCATAAGGAGTTGATGCTTAAAAACATAAAATGGATCTAATTACACACTATTCCATCCTTTTACTTATGGGAAGATACTCTGTAACTTATGGTTTCTGTGATGAAATATCTCTAATACACAGTAGGGGTGGGCGAAGAGGGCCATATTCGATTCGCATTCAGATTCGGCCCAGTTCGGGGGACAGTGATTTGATTCATTGATTCATATCGCTGTCCCAATTCAATTCGGCCAAATCCAAATCTGAAGATTCAATGCTGATTTGAAGAATCAGCAATTTGGCCATAGACAAAGCTTTAAATGTTTTTTCTACATACCTCGAGGTACCAAGTACAGCTCGTGAACGCTGAGATGGTGGGATGGATGGAGCGTCCCACAGGAGCATGGGAGGGCCTCCTGCATGCTTCGTGATGGACCCCCCCATTCCTCCCTAGCTTGGCAATCAGCTGTGGGGGGACCCTGGGTGCCCCCCCAGATCCAGGAGGCACCAGTCACTGAACCAGGGGGCAGGAGGAGGGTCCCCTGCACTCTCCACAATGGACCTGGAAGTGGACCAAAAGTGCTTCTGGTCCACTTCCAGGTCTGCTGCTGAGTACACTGGGGACCGCCCTCCCCTCCCCACCAAACTCCCATGGGACACTCTACCCACCCCACCATTTCAGCATTCACGAGCTGCCTGGTACCTTGAAGTATGTGGAAAAAACATTTAAAGCTGTGTCCATGTTCAAATCATCAAATCTCGATTTGGAGGGTTCCTATTCGATTCGGAGAGATTAAAGAGGCTCCTGATTTGGTTTGGATTCGGAGATTTGGCGACCGAATCGGGTCAAATCTCCACCGAATCGAACCAGCGACTGAAGCTTTGTACAGCCCTAATGCACAGTATTATCTACAGTATAGCTAAATCACTGTATTTACTCAATTCCAAGATGAGCCTCCCTTTCCTCCCCATTTAAAGTGGGGAAAAAAGCCCGTCTTGGAACTGAGTAGGAGGCAGTGAGGGGGGTGGAGAGTGGGGGCTGTCAGCTGCTCTTTCTCTGACCCTAGGACAGGGTCAGAGTCACAGCTGCTGCCTGCCCCCACATTGCTTCTGCCCTGCTGCTTTGGGCCCCCCTGCCTGGTGCCCCCACAGCACTTCCCAACCCCACAGCCTCTGGCCCCCTGCCTGCTTCCCTCTGCTGTTTACACTTGCTCTGGGGCCAGCAGGCTGTGTCCCTGCTCCAGCCTAGGACATGGAGCACATTGTTGCTCTGGCCACAGCCAGCCTGGGAGCAGTGGAAGTGGCACAGCAGCTCCAGCTTGGATTCCCTTGTAAGCCTGAAATGCTGTCTTGGCAGAATTGACACCTTTTTCCCCTTTTCTTCAAATGGACACCATGAGCTGCAAGTGATGTGCACACAGAGGCAACTAAGCACAGAGGTAGTGTAAGCAACTGCTGTATGCAAAACAAAATGTAGATAGCTGTAGAATGTAGGAAAATAATATAGAAGAGAGAAGTTAAACAAAACCCAAGGATAGCTCAGTAGGGGAGAAGTAAGTTCAGAAAGAAATAAGATGAGGGTGAAAGAGGGTGACAGATTGATAAGGAAACAACTACTGTAAAAGGTAATTGGTGAGGATATATAGCATGAAGTATACAGAAGAGGACTATAAAAGGGTATAAAAGCCTAAGGAAACAACTATATTTGGGGAGCTATCACCAGCCAGAGGAGACCAAGCTGATCTAAACTGCGACCCCCGGCATCATGATGACACCTAGGTAGTTAAGTCATCATGCATCATTTGGAAGGCAGTGTAAGAATATCTTTACAGACTATTTGCTTGAGTAGTGGCATTGCTTTTGTGCTCATTAAATTTGGATTTGAGACTAGAATGGGTAGGATCACTGATCATTTCATTCTGTTCATGCCACCCCTTAATCAAAATTGAGTGTAACAGATTTGGTGTCCCTGAGTAGGCAAAAGCAGGTTGGTGGCTTCAGAGGGTGAACAGAGATTGGAATATCCACATTTAATGAACCTTCCTGGGCTCCACGGGTTGTAACCTTGACTCATGGGGAGAGGGACTCGCTGAGACCATACAGGATCATAGGCAAGAAGGGAATATCTGATTTAGGGACCTTTCCCCTTCCAAAACTAACACCATGGCAACAGAAGTAGAAGAGTTTGAGAAATGGGTGCCAGAGTCTACTGTGCCCCAGGTTTGGGGCAAGGGGGCATTTGAGAATGAGGAGAACACTTTAGAGGATTTTTGTAAGTAGTGGTCCTATTGGATCACCTCTGAGGAAAGTCCATGCCCAGATAAAAAGACTAAGAACTTAGCAGCATTACAGGGCCTGTTTATGGTAGCTAAAGGACTGGCCAAGGAGTTGGCATGGGAAAGCAGAAAAGTGCAGAGTTGCAGGATAAGTGCTATCAGTAAGAGCAAGAGATAGAAAAGGAAGAGAAACAGAGTCAGGAGATAGAAAATTTAAAGGCACAGATGGCAGTGTTGCAAGAAATGTCTTTGAAGAATGCTTGTAAGATGGCTGAGGCAGGGCAGGATTCCAGAAAACATTGCAAATGATAGAAGGAAAATAAAAGGGTAAGGAAAAGCCAGTTGATACCCTTAGGGTGGAAGTATGGCATAAAATGCTACAGTACAAAAAGCAAAACAACATAGATAGTTTGCCCATGGCAAAATTGCTGAAGAGGCTGGTAGAGCATGAAAAAAATAATAAAGCCAAGGGGAACCAAAGCAAATTCTCAGCTCCCCCATGAGCTGAGAAAGGGTAAAACTGCCTGGCACCTCCAGTTCAGCTCCTTGTTGTCACTAGCATCCATTATAGCTACACTGACTTTGTGCAGTTCAAAAATGTGATACAAAGGGGAGTACTGAGACAGGCAATGGTAAGGAACCCTTCCTCAGCTAAGGGCTACAGACAGAAGTGCAATTCCCAATTTTTGCAAAGTGTTCTGAGTTACAAAGTTACCCTAAACCAAACAGAAGTTCACTATTGGCTCCAGGGGGAAGGGGAATCTAGCTGGGCTGGAAGCCTGCAGTCAGGCTCCCATAGCAATGACCAGGGCTCTCTATCAGTGTTCCCTGTGTTTAGAATGGGAGCAGGGAAAGGCAGTGGAGGGAGCTCATTCTTGGGGCTCCCCAGCTGGTGCCGAAGAGCAGGGTATCCCATCTCATCTTCTGCAGGGGACTGAAACCACCCCCAGACTACTCTCCCTCCACTCCCTTTCCCCTTTCCCATTCTGAAAACAGCAACAGGCTGGGAGCTCAACAAATGCAAGTTACAAAAGATGCTACATTTTGAAATGTCTTTATCTGATATCTCATGCAAAGAGGGGTCAGATTTTTCACCCAATCAGCCATTTTTGAAGCTGTCTGCAGCTGTGCACCTTTGTTTGGTGTCAGCTATAAACTGCTTTCTATGGCCTGATCAGGCAAAAATTGTCACTTCTGTCTGCACCCAAGAACAAGTGGAGGGGAAGAATGGCTTTTTGACTTTAAAGCATTTAATCAGAAAAAAAATCAAATCATTACTACCCTTCTCACAAATAAAGCAATTTGAAAAGGGAAATCTAAATTCACACAGAACCAAAGGAAAATAGAAACCGAGGGCTCCTTTAGATGTGCACGGAGCCAGCTCTGACACGTTGGAAATCCAGCGCATTGGAGCAGACTCGATTAAGCAAGTCTGCTGGAGTACAGAAATTAATGCGCTTCAGCAGACTCTGGCATCATGTGTATCAGCATCCCTGCACTGAAAAATGGTGGCAGGGCACTTTAAACTAAAGCTCATTC